ATAACTTGGATATAGTAATGGTTTTATTAGATGATTTTGGATGTAATAATTCATGGTTTGATCTAAGTTCAAGAACTCATTTAGGTTGTGGCAAAGGTTTAGAAATACCAAAAGAAGCATAAGGAAAAGTTGGTAGATTAATTGGGAAAAATCTCTCGAAAGGAATTCTACCTAACGGGTTTATAATTTTTTTGTTTTCTTGATTTTGTCAAACTTTGTCTCTTAAAGAATATACTACATTTCTAAAGGTGGATTCTAGTCGAAGGGGATCGTAACACTCTTGATAGTAATTTTCAAATGCAGTAATTTGAAGGTACTGCTCATATTTACCTTTTGGAACCTTTGATTTATCCTTCGTAGAACAAATTTAAAGGTTAATGGAACACCTCCTACTGAATATGGAATTAGTACCTGAGTAGAACAATATTTTTTAGTTTTCTTGAGTAATCCAATGACTAGTGCGAAGGTTTTGCCATTTAGTTCAACAAATTGAGTACTAATAAGCTGAATGTTGGAAGTTTGGGAAGTGGCGGATGATGAAGCCATTGGAGGGGAAAATATAAGTTGAAACCTAAGGACGATACAGATGGTATGAGAATGAAGTAGTGGAGAGGATTTTTTAGAAACGATTTGTAAAGTAGGGAAAATATATGAGGATGAGGAAGATGAATAATATGATGGGCTTGGTGTAAGCCCATATCTAATAAATCAAATATTTTTTAATAAATTCAAACCAATGATGAGTGAAAGAGTAATGATACATACAGTCACATTTATTACGAGAATTTTGCATTTATGAGGGGAATAAAGGCAATAATGAGAACATGGGATGAAATAACATTTTGAATAAAGTAAGGATAAAATACTTGAAGTTGGTATCGAAGATAAGAGAACACATATATGTTAATTTAAACTGAAATTAATTATGATCTTCTTCCTTATGATCAAACATATATATATAATCCCATATTGTAAACATGTTATAAACTAAATGCGAAAGCGTACCTGAATTAATCATAATGATGATATTCTTTGTAGAGCACCTTTAATTTGTTCTTATGGTCTTCCACCTGAAGAACACCTATATTTCCCTATGGATTTTCTCTCTTGATGGGGATAGAGAGAAAGGAACGGGACTGTAACTTTGTTCTGTCTGTGTGCTCTCAGAAGGGGACCATGACCCTTTATATAACCAAAATTAGGTTAATTACTTAAGTTTTAGTATTTTCAATTTGGCCCCTCATCAAATTAGAAATTACTCTATGGTCTCTACACAATCATATTTTCATGACATATGCTTTTAGCCAAAACTTTAATTTATTCAGATCACTTTATTATTTGGCTTAATAAATAATGACCCTAACACATTTAAATATGTATCATATATATACATGACCCAAAATTTGCCAACAATCTCCCACTGGTCACAAATATATATGTCTTTACAACCTTACAAATGTGTTAGACTTTATGAGCTCAAAATTGTCATTATATTCCTTTAGCATATTCCAAAAGTCCTGTCCATTAATCATATCAGGATATAGAACCAAACCAGCTTTTCATTGCATCATCGCAACTAAAACCAACAAGATTACTCATCCTGACATAACCAAATGACATGGATTCATCATGAAATGTGTAGCATGAAAAATTACGTGAAGGTGATCTGTACACGTCTATTTTCAACTGGTCCAAACTTTAACTTATCGAGATCGATACAATAACCTTAATGTACAAAGTGTAATGAATGAACAAGAAAACCGCATATCTATAGATAACCAAATATGTCCAAAAAACAATGTATACATATATAAAATTAAACATAGAACATAAAATATATGAAAATGACTAACTCCCACTAAACCACAAATTCCTCAAACTGTAAAACACCCATGTGAGCAACATGCTCATGAAAGACCTTGGGCGAAAGTCCTTTAGTTAGAGGATATGCTATCATGGAGTTTGTCCTTAAGTGTTCTATGGAAATCTGTCCACTTTGTACTCTTTCCTTAACAATACAGCTGATTTATTGTCACAATATAACTTAAGTGGTCTTTCAATGCCTTTCACAATTTGCAGCCCTGTGACAAAATTTCTCAGCCATATTCCATGATTTGATGCCTCATAGCATGCTACAAATTCTTGACATCCTGCAAAATACGAGTCAGATAATCCAGCGATCTCCAACTGGTCTGACATCCTGTATGTGAGCATATAATCTTTTGTTCTCTTTAAATATCTGATGACCCTTTTTGCTGCTTTCTAATGGTCTATTCCTGAATTGCTTAAATATCTGCCTAGAACCCCAACTATGTATGTTATGTCTGGACGCGTACATATTTGGGAATACATCAAACTCCCGATAGCTAATGCATGGGGAATCTGTTGCATTTCCTCAATTTCCAAATTCCTCTTTGGGCACTAGTTTAGACTAAACTTGTCTCCCTTAGTAACTGGAGTATCCCCGGCTCATGACGCACAGGTTCTTGAGGATCTTGAGTTTGGTCTTGACGAACAATCAAATCATCTTGAATATGGGGTTTGTCATCAATGTCTTGTGGAGGTTTCGAACTTACTTTATCAAAAGTAACTGTTTGACTCGGTTCTGAATTTATTGTCGATTCTTCCTCCAATACAAAATTCTTAATCTTATTCTTCCCCCAAACTCAATATCCTCAAAGAACATAACAGTTCCCATCTCAAAAAATGTCTTTAATGTGGGATCATAAAATTTATATCCCCTGTCTCTTTCAGAATAACCAATGAAGTAACTACTTACTGTTCGGGAGTCCAATTTTAGTTTAATACCACGAGATTCTGTATTAAGAGTTGCATTATAGGTGACTACAGTATCAAGTAAATATAGATTATCATTAGCCAAAAAATGAACCAGTTATAACAATATTTGAATTAAAAGACAAACTGAACTTTATTGTTTCCAAATGAACACAAATAACCTAATTTGTCCAAATAAGAAATTGAAACCAAATTCCGTCTAAAAGACGGCACGACAAAAAATGTCTTTTAAATCTAAAATAAAAAACCAGTACATAATAATAATCTAAAATGTTCAATAGTCTCCATCTCCACCAATTTTCCATTTTCAACGTATATTCATCTTTCAGAATTAGTTGACTTCCGGTAGTTTAGGCAACCCTTTCTTTTCACGCCAAGCATGATATTTAGCACATTGCTTCTTTATGTGTCCAGTCTTATTGCAAAAGAAACATTTATTTTCTTGAGTTTGTTTCTTTTGTTCTGGACCTTTAACAACTACCTTCTTAGGATCCTCCGATCTCTTTCTTTTGCCTTTAGCCTTAAAGGTGCTTGCAAAATGAGCACTTTCTGTCTTGTCTTGTTTTAGTCTTTCTTCTTCTTGCACACAATGAGAAATGAGCTCATTAAGAGACCATTTATCCTTTTGACAGTTGTAAGATACCTTAAATTGATTAAACGTTGCGGGAAGAGAAATCAACACCAAATGAATGAGCAAGTCTTCTGAGAGTTCAAGCTTTAGTGCCTTGAGCTTAAAAACAATATTAGACATGCTCATAATGTATTCCCTGATATTTCCTTTGCCCTGATATTTCATGGAGATCAAGTTCTGAAGAAGAGTGCTTGCCTCCGCCTTATCACTTTTTGCAAAGCGCTGCTCAATTTCAGCAAGGAACTCTTTGGCACTTGTGATGTTTTCAGAAACAGTGCCCCTAAACACCTCCGGGATGCCGCGCTTAATGATCATTAGACTCATGCGATTTGAGCGATCCCACTTTTTATAATCTCTTTTCTGTTCAGAGGTACTTGAATCCGTAGGAACAGGGGGTTGCTCAGTCCTTAACGCAAGATCCATATCCATGCAGCCAAGAATAATATCAATGTTCTCTTTCCAGTCCTTAAAATTTGTTCCATTGAGGACCGGAACAGAATTTAAATTGGCAGATACAGAAGCAATTGTAGCTGGATTAGAACAAAAGAAATAAACTAATTATGCTCACATTATAAAATTAAATAATTATAAATAAAATATATATTCAAATAATGGTTTAACTCATCTCAAGACACCCAATGCACCATCAATATCAAGTCTTTGGACAGTAATATTAACTGCTAGAGGTATCTTGTTGTAATAATCAAACATTGACAATAAAACACGTCCAACAACAAACCAGTCTTTGGATTGATTTATCATCGACAAAGCAAATCCTTATAATTATCACATGTTTATCATTACAAGTGTGTATGCAATTCGGCCAAATATTAATCTTCCTTTGGGTCGACTAATACTCGCATGAATATACACAAACACTAACATTCAATATTTTTTATGAACTACCCAATTCAAGAGAGGTTACTTTGGTAACTTCTTGACTCAATTTGCTCACAAAAAATATTAAACTACCAAACAAATTGAATATATTAATAAGGGTAACCCTAAACCAAATTTATATAATTATTTATTTATATTGAATATAGTGATTATATAACAAAACTACAATTTGCCAACAGCATTCCCCATAGGCAATTTGTGCATTTGATGCAATGTGTGGGCTCAAGGAGAGAAAAAATAGATTACTGTAATCCATAAAAGCCTCTAAAATGCGCACAGCCTTTTCAACCAAATGCAAGTGTTGTGGATTTGTATCTTTAAGGAGGGGTAGCAGTGTAGGAATAAATCCTGCTTCACGCATGGCAGAGCACCCTGATGATGTTGAAACCAACACAGTGACAAGAGACAACAGAGCTTCTTCAAAATGAACGGACCATTTTGAGGTATCACTATTAACAGAGTTAATGGCTTTTTGTATCAGGCTAGATAAAATGCCACGGTGTCCACCAGATGTAACTGCAGTCTGTACTGATTGTAAGAGCAGCTAATGAATGCAGACATAAAATTCGATTTTTTTTTTTTTTTTTTTTTTTTTTAAACCGCATCTTCATAGCTCGATAATGATACTAATTTGTTGATAAATCCAGGCTCGGCATTGAAGAATGAAACCAGGTCATCCGCATCGAGCACATGCTTGAATTAGTACTATGAAGGCATACAACCGAATGCATGTATATTGCTGTCTAGAAGCCAAAGAACCAAAAGCCCTAGCAAACCGCAGTCTTGACAATAAAGAAAACCTTAAACTGGCAGGCACCTTATATTCTGTAACTAACTTGTGCAAAAGCTCAAGATCATTTTCCACACGTTTATCGACATCGCATAAGTGTATAATTTGCAAGCCTTGCACCAAGGGTTTAGCCACTTTTATGTCAGTTTCTGACTCATTTACAGCATAAAATTCAAAATGAAGGGTACAACCCAATTCACAAGCAATAGGATCACAACCATTAGGTACAGCATATGCAACCAATCCAAGTCCTTCCTCCTTTCCACCCCAACACACAACATGTCCCAGTGGTCGCAATCTGTGGTCGGGAGTTCCACAACTTTGAAACAAGCGTCGTGAACCCCTCCTCAGTCCGCCGAAACGCTTGTTGAATGGCCTCAGATGTCACAACACTCTGTGACTCGGCCAATATCGCTTGGAGATTACGGAACAAGTTATCGCAAACGTATCGCGAGTAATCAGGACCGTCGTGGCCGTTGTAGACGCCGACGAAGGTGCCGAAGGGTCCGGACTCGATCTGCCTCTAGTCCTCGAGTACCTGATTAGCCTGAACAACGACCATGGAGAAATCGCCAGCGGCAAACCTTCCGATGTCGCAGAACCAGAGGAGGTCGTCCTAGTATTCTCTTCCAGCATTGGCGTCGCCACCTTGCCCGAACGGCTTCCAACATCTCTAAGAAACCCTAACCCTAGGCCCCCAACACCAGAACCTCTCCCACTGGGGGCGCCATGCTCCGAATCTGAATTGGTCATAATTATCAGGGCCATACGATAACCCATCAGCGTGCCTTTAAACCAGCAACTCCCTTTCCCAACCACACTGGAGGCACGTCACGCGGCCTTCTCCAATTCCGCGTGTTGAGCCAACAGTTACACCTCCGGATAATGGCACACGGCGAATAGAGAATTGGGTTTTTAAGAAACCCTAGGATTCTTAATTTTAGGGTTTTTAATTAGGGATTAAGGGTTTCATAAATTAATCTCAATTCTTAAATATTTCCTAAATTAAAAACATGAATCAAGTATGGGTGGCTCTGATACCAATTGTTAATTTAAACTGAAATTAATTATGATCTTCTTCCTTATGATCAAACATATATATATAATCCCATATTGTAAACATGTTATAAACTAAATGCGAAAGCGTACCTGAATTAATCATAATGATGATATTCTTTGTAGAGCACCTTTAATTTGTTCTTATGGTCTTCCACCTGAAGAACACCTATATTTCCCTATGGATTTTCTCTCTTGATGGGGATAGAGAGAAAGGAACGGGACTGTAACTTTGTTCTGTCTGTGTGCTCTCAGAAGGGGACCATGACCCTTTATATAACCAAAATTAGGTTAATTACTTAAGTTTTAGTATTTTCAATTTGGCCCCTCATCAAATTAGAAATTACTCTATGGTCTCTACACAATCATATTTTCATGACATATGCTTTTAGCCAAAACTTTAATTTATTCAGATCACTTTATTATTTGGCTTAATAAATAATGACCCTAACACATTTAAATATGTATCATATATATACATGACCCAAAATTTGCCAACAATATATTCATCGAAGATTCATATAGTATTTTCTTAGGGAGCTTTTTGTTAAATTTAAAATTTACAAATAGATAAAAAGAATGAATCAAGAAAAGGGATATCTGATAGTTAGAAAGAATAAATTTAGAAATCAAGAAAGACATATTATGGAGGTAAAAGAGTAATCAATATGAGTTTTCAAAGAAGTCAAAGCATTAACAAATCGAGAATCGAGAAATTAAAGAATAAAGAATATCGAAATACAAAGACACAATGTATCAAAGAAACAAAATATCGAGAGGAAGTTATAACGAACGATCTTCAAGTGGTGTATCAAGAGATTCATAGAGACAATTATAATATAGTTCATTGGTATGTGTAGTTACAAGTAACATGTATCAACAAAGTGAAGCAAAGAGAAACCGTTACAAGGAAATAATCGTTCAAAGATTATAATTTATAGTTTTATCTTTTATTTCTATTATTATTCTTGTTTTTATTTTTATCTTTATGACACCCATTGACGGTTTCAAAAAACACATATATAAGATAAAATAAAGGTAACCAAGGGTGATTGTCAAATTGTATAACTTACATTCTAAAAAACGCTATGAACTGAGAACAAACATTTTCAATAAAGTTCTTCGTAATTTGGATCGCCACTTTAATTAATTTTCTATATTAATTTCTGTTTTATCCTTGGTAATGAATTATATTTATTTTTCTTGCACATTTACTTTTAAACAATTTATTTTACAATTCTTTACTATTCTTACAATTTACTTTAAATGTTTGTATTAAACATAAAAATTGAATATGAATTATTTACATACTAGAAACAAGTATAAAAGGATATATGCATATCCTAATGGTTGTATTTTATAAAGAAATGAGTTTGAAGAACTAAAAAAGTATATAATTTGTGGGTTATCCCGTTACAAAGTGAAGGATAATATAATTAAGACAATAGTGATTACATGACTATTTTAGTTATTTTTATTACATACAAACTAATTTAATTTTTGTAGTTTGAGTAATAGTGTAATAGACAAACCGGAGGATTTGAGTGTGGTTATTACAATCATTATCGAAGTAGGAATAAAAAGAGGTTAGGATCTGGTAAGACAAATATTTTTTTAAAATGATTATACACCAAATAATTAGTTATAATTATACTTATTAAAATTTATTTAAAATATTACAATTTTTATGAACACATCTCTGGTGGATATAGATGTCAAAATATATTAGACGCACATTGACAACATACTTCATTAACTTGATTAGTACATTAGAATAGTTAACTTTTTATTAAAACAATATATATGATCAAATTTTTTTTGTTAAACATTAGGATAACTGACTAATTATTTTTGTATATTATAAATATTTATAATTGCTTTATAGGATTCTAATAAAAATAATATTAAATATTAATTATTGTACATATTTACGATTGCTTATGTACCACAAATATATTAAAAATCTATAGTATTGAATTAATTGAATATGCAAGTATTGGGATATAGCAATAAAATAGACTATTTATTTAAAAAGAAAAAAAGACATGACGATTAATAATATAATTGTCGTCGTAAATATGTTAGTCGCAAAGGATTAAAAACGGATATCACCAAACTCGTTGTTATATATCATGATATGATGATAATTTTTTTATAAATAACCATTATGGTATAGTTCACATACAATAAATGACTCATTATTGTATCTCTCATGTACAATGACAATTTTATTAATTAACCACGAATCTACCATTAATATGGTTGGTAGGTCATTCTTAACAGTCATTGAACATTTTTGCTACAATAGTGATTGAAATTGAAATAAATTATACTTAATACTTGCGTTAATTTTTCTTGTTCATATATAAAATAACTATTACCTTATTCACTATAACTGTAATACAATTGTAATACTTTATCCTATCGGACAAGTAATTAGAATTACACTATATATCTAATAATTAATTAGAAATGATTTAAATATAGCAAACTTTATATATATATATATATATATATATATATATATATATATATATATATATATATGTGTGTGTGTGTGCACCACAAGAAATTTTATAATTAGCTAGAAAAATTTGCTACAAAATTTATTTTTCACTAATTTGTAGTTAATTAGCTATGGAATAGTGAAGGAATAAAATTGTAACTAATTTGTAGTAAAATAACTATGGAATAGTGAAGAAATAAGGTTGTAGCTAATCTGTAGTAAAATAGTTAGAAGACTAATATTTTTTGTAACTATTCCCTTACTTAGTAGAAAAATAATTTAGCTAGGAAAATTTTTGTCACTAATCCCTCACTATAAATATTAACTATGTTACTTTTTGAAGCTATTTCCTAGCTAAATTGTGTAATATACCAACATAGCTAAACTGTAACAAATTTATAACAAATTTTAAATTGAAAAAAAAAATAAATTGTTGGGAACCATTTTTGTAAATTATTTTAGTTTTATAAAAAAATATTTACAAAAAATACTTGTAAATTAGTCTAAAAATATATAATTATAAAAAATAATTTTTGATCTTTTTGAAAAAATATCAATAAAAATTAATTACAATTTTTTCTTAAAAAATTATTTCTACCAAATTTATTATAAATATATAATTATATATAATTGTTTTTATCTAAACTATTTGGAAATAATTATAATATTTTTAAAAAAATATCTAAAATTTTTGATAAATATTTAAAATGATTTTTTGTAAGTTTTTTATAAATTTAAATTTGTTGGAAGTATTTAATAATATTTAAATTAATAGAAAATTTTATAAATAATATTTTTTTTATAATTTTTTTAAAACTATTCTTTATAAAAAATAAAAAAATTATTATATTTAGAAATACTAATTTATCTTTTTTTTTATAATTCTTTTAATAAAAATCCTAATTAATCTTTTTCCCATTTTCTTCATGTATCCTTTTTTTCTAAAACCTAACCGGCGCTATAGCTATCATCGCTCCCGCGTCGTTCTTACTACCGCTCCTGCACCATCCTTGCTTCGCTCTCGTTATAATACGGAACCCGAGGTTTAAGAAAACACTTTACCCTTTTTATTTTATTCTATTTTCTTCTCTTCTACCCTAGGGTTTTAACGCTAGGGTTTCAGTGTTCACTCTCTATTTTTCTCTCTCACTCTGTTTCTCTTTCTTTAGGCATAGCCATGGATAGGTACCAGAAGGTGGAGAAGCCTAAGCCCGAGTCTCCAATCAACGAGAATGAGATCCGAATCACAACCCAGGGCGCTATTCGCACCTACATCACCTCAGCTCCTTTAATGTTCGATTACCTTTCGTGAGAAACCTTCGCCTTTTGTGCGGATTGGGGTTTTCATTCAGGGTTGCATTTTCGGGCTTTGAGACTTAGTTTTGTTTATTTGTTTGTTTGTTTACTAAATGCTAGTGTGTGGGGGTTGGATTGGCAAGGTTTGGTTTGTGATATGTGGCATTTTGTATTTTTGTTTGTTTTCGTATGACCTTTGATTTTGGAAACTCTTTATTTGCGATAGAAAATGTTTTATGTGGGTTGAGTATTGAGATTGTCTCCTTAGTTTCTGGATTCAAAGCTAAAGCACCAGTAACATGTGGAGTTCAAAGCAATGAGAATAGACTTTTCTGAAGAGAACCAAATAACATGAACTGCATAATCACGGAGTACCTCTTTCTTTTGTTACTTTTTCCCCTTGGCTATTAAGCTTATTTATTTATACAACAATTACATAGGCCTTTTTGCTTCCCACTTGGCATATTTATGTGATGTTCGGTTGTATTTTATCTCAAGTTCATTGAATGAAAAAATCAGCCGCATGATCGCCTTACGCACCACTTTTAAAGATTTCATTTAGTAATATTGAATCTGTCAGCGTTAAAATTTACAAACTAAAGCAGTTCATTGATTGAGAGACATTCATTTCTTCACCCTTCTTGTAAATGCTTCTGAACCAATAAATATTAGTTAATGTTGGATCACTGATAATTTCCATCACATGCCCTGTATTCATGACTCAATGATATCCATATTTTCTGGTGAAGTGAAACTTTTGAGTAAGTATTATGTAAACATTGATTGAGATTATATAAATATTTTTTTCATAGACAGAGATTCTAAGTCATATTCTTTTTTGGTGACACAATGCTAAATCATACTAACATGTTCTCCCAACAATACAATTTATGGGACCTGCATTGAGAGTTATTGCAGGTATCATGTATGCTGGAGCAACACTTAAAGATTGAGAAGGTGAGTAATTTGGAGCACAACTTCCAATGGTTGGGTCATTTGGTGCCACTATTTCTACCTGTTTTGCACTTGGGTCATTTGGTGCTACATAAATTCCCTTCACTTAAAATGGTTGGGTTAGCACTACCTCCTATAGCATACATTTTCTACTCATCATATTTGTTGTTGACCACATGGGCGTAACCAAATCTTACATTGCATTTTCATCCAAGTGAATACAGTATTTATTTCCATCGAACATGCAAATTCAATCCATAGAAAAATCACTCTTACCTTGGCATCCTTTCAGTTAGGCCACTAGCAAACTGGTTGAAGGATATTGTTACTTTAATTATTTTATCCCTTGTGAATTGGTCATTGTGTCCTAGCAACATAACCTGCAGGCACGTTTCCTCATTCAAATATTATGTTCTCTAAAAACATATGTATGTGCCCAAATTCTAAGAAGGGGGATAGGTAGCAACGTGGTTACTATGGGTTTGCATAATTTAAAATGATCCAAAGATGCATTTTAGATGGTGAAACATGCGGCTATAATTGCTGATTGGAACAAACTATACTTGGTGGTTTATGATATGGTAATAATTGTACATGCATAATAAACTATGAAAGAGGATTGTTTAACACCTTTTTCTACTAGCAGTTTGATTAAAATTTGTTAAAAATTACAAAAGCATGAAAGTATTAAATAAGAAGTGAATCTTGCTAAAATTTATAATTTGCAACAAGTTTTAGTCTAAATAGAAAGTGTATTGCTAATATTCTTTAATTATGAAAATATTGAAGTAATTTTTTACTATTGATCTTTGGGTTTATTGGATTATTTATATACAGATACCCTGCTTTGATTTCCGTAAAAAACTCAAGATATATTAAGTAGATAACAAATATGTGTTTCTTTCCTCCCTTAATAAATAAAAGCCAGCCACATAAGTTTGTAAAGAATTAAATTGGGGGAAAACTTTTCATACATCACAACGCTCGAACATTTGTGAGTTTTTGGCTATCCACACATAGATTAAGATTTTTCGATTTCCAATTTGAAGTTATACTGTTCTTTATAACTTAGTACTAATGAACAGGGTTCAAGAATCAATAACTTCACTGAAAATCTTCCTCCACACCTTGGAAACCTTTCTCGCATTAAAAGATTGTAAGCCCCGTATTATATCCTACTTGATTTATTTTATTTAACTTTGTCTGCTGAATTATCAAGCTACAATAGAGAAAAAAATCATAAGATGATATTTGAATATCGGTTACATATTATGATATTATTGTATATGAGTTTTTAATTGATATTGGGAGAAAATTCTTATCATATTCCCTCACATTAAAAAGATTTTTTCATAAAAACTTTTCCATTTTTTTAAAACTTTTATCTAGTTACAAATGTTATTACTTTTAAATAATTATTATAAAAATTCATAAATATTTATCCTAGAAAAACTACATCCCAAGGATTTTACTATCTTAAATATTAATGTTATGAACAGATCCATTCATGCTATGATGTTAAGTTTTATTGTGCCTATAGAACCAATAAAGGTTTCACCATATTTTATCATAGGTTGTAATGAAGTGTTCACCTTCATTGGGCAGTTAGAGTTCTTCTATATATTTTTCTGATCTTTGTTGATTCTGTAGTTGGATAAAGACTGTCGGTGAAAATAAAAAAGGTAGAATTTATGGTATAGGTCGAGTTTGGATCTTGGTATTTCACATGTTTCATCTTCATCGAGTTGAAGGTCCCTCTTCCCAAAATCTTACCACACCTCTCACTCGAAGAAATCACTACCTTAGCTACACGGATATCTAGTTTGCAAGAGCGAGATGAAAACACGATTGCGAGCACAAACCGATATGCAAGCATTGATGCAAACACAAATGAAGATACAAGCGTAAATGCAAACACTCATGCAACAACAAATGCAAGAAGAAATGCGGTCTTTCAAGAAAGATATATTATCTGTCTTAAAGAAACAATGATGAAAACATACTTTAAACTTTGTTTCTATTTGTAATTGTGTTATACGAGAACTTTTTAGTTGAAATATTATTTTTGTTATGTTTTAATTGTTTGAAACATCATTTTAACTATGCTTAAACAATACTTTTATATTGAAAGTTGATATGTTTGTCTTCTTTTTTAAGAATGAATAATAATTTAAATATTAAATATTTGATATTATAAATTTTGATAAAAATTATGAGGGATTAGCTATGAAATAGTGAGAAAAACATTGCAAAGGATTAGCTACGGATTAGTGAAGAAATAATTGTGAGGCATTAACCACTAGCTAGAGATAAATTGTTAGGGATTAGCTACAGATTAGCGAGAGAAAAATTGTGAGGGATTAGCTACGGATTAACGAGAGAAAAATTGCGAGGGATTAGCTACGGATTAGTGAGAGAAAAATTGTGAGGGATTAGCTACGGATTAGCGAGAGAAAAATTGCGAGGGATTAGCTACGGATTAGCGAGAGAAAAATTGCGATGGATACGGATTAGCGAGAGAAAAATTGCGAGGAATTAGCTACGGATTAGCGAGAGAAAAATTGCGAGGGATTAGCTACGGATTAGCGAGAGAAAATTGCTAAGGATTAGCTACGGATTAGCTACAAGTTTTGGGAGATCAAATTAGCTAGGGATAAACAAAATTTCATCATTTAAATTAGCTAGGGATAAACAAAATTTCATCATTTAAATTAACAAGGGATTTAGCGACAAAATTTGCTACAAGTTTGAGAGAGAATACATTTGTATCTAATTAGCTACTTGAATTTAGCTACGGACTATTCCATAGCTATTCCGTAGCTAATCTGTAGCAAAACATATCAGCGAGAGATTAGCTATAAAATAGCTACGGAATGTGTCATAGCTAATATGTAAAATTCTTGTAGTGGTGTGTGTGTGTTACGCACCCTATCAGCAATGAACACAACAATAACCATTTTTCCAACTCAAATGCTACTCGTAAGGTATTTTCCGTTTATAATCTTAAATGACATCTCACCACAAGTTACAGATGGTTGTAGATAATCCTTATCCATGTCTTTGCTGTGTCTGCATGATACATTATTTGTTCTAAGAATGATAAATTATGTATATATTCTAGGTCAGCTTTGCGTGAATGATGAACAAAATGTGTAGCAATGGCCAATAATAACATGTTGGGTATGAATGGGGTTTTGAAGTATATGACTACAAAAGAGATGAGAAAGCCACCAGAAAAAACTAGTATAGGCTACCCTAAAGAGTTCAGGAAACAACTTGATGAACATGGACCACTTGTACTAGGAACCTCAGGACAAACTTTGAATGGCGACTAAAATCCAAAGAGGTTGGATAAGAAGGTTAACTACGTCTTTAGAAACATATTTGGGGTTTCAAAGTTTGTAATCATGTTGTTGGTTGATGATAATATATACGTTTCAATTTTTAGGGTAACATTTGAAACTTTATGAGTTTCAAAGGATCTGCAGAAGTTTTTGAATATAACAAGATAAGCAGAAGTAAACAGCAAATCATGAAAGACATGTTTAAATTTCAAGGTATACTGATTAATATTCAGGTACAATGGATCTATTTAAGCGATTTTGGAAGAACTTCATATCATAATAAATAGCATGATGAAAACAAAACTAAAAACATAAGGACACACTAAGCAAAATAATAGGTAAGGACAGCAACTTTTATCTTTCCATAAAAATAAAATAAATCAATATGATTACGTAAGAGATGTTTCATTGCCTTGTTGGTTATGTAGGACACAAACAATGTTCACGAACTATCATGTACCAATCAAGACTTTTTCTTGTCAAAGTTTTACACTTCTCTCTTGCAATAAGGTCATCGACTTTGGGTCGCAGTAATTCATGTAACATGTGAGATAGTTAATGTATATGGTCCAATAACCCATAAAAATGGGTTTAGTTAGTTGATAGAGATTAGGTTTATGTACTCTGTTAAAAAATGTTAATTTAAATTTAGTCGTTGATATAAAACTTTGGTTTTGTCCGCTTCTTGATGAGAATGTGAAATTCAATTCAAGAAATGTTCATTCATACACACAAATATCAGACAAAAAAACTAGTGTACTTTATGTTATATCTAATAAAAGAGAAGTTACCAAAGTCTCATATATAATACCGCAACCATCTTTTAGTTTCATCAAAAGATTGGATCTTCTATTTTTAGTTTAAAATTCAGCCATTACTATCTTCGTACTACTGATAAAAAAATAACAATCAAAGTTGTACAAAAAGAAAACAAAAATATTTCATTGAAAGTGATTTTAGCAATTACTACCATTTTTATGCATTTTCTAATCTCCATAGAGTACTCTCTAATTTGTCTTACTATTGAAAGGGATAAGCATTGGTGTTTGGGCAAGTTTCACTTATTTGTGAAATAACAACAATTAATCATCAATCACATTTCATTCATTTTCGATAGTGATAGGTACCCATCACGTAAAAGACCTGGCTCAACACCTCCAACATTTTTTTTTTCTTTGGGGCTAACTCTGAATTTATTTAATAATGAAAGAGGTAGGTTTATAAATGATTAATGTACCGAATTCAATTGTTCGAGTTTAATCATTAACAAAAATAATCTTTGATTAAACTTACTTTAAGACATGAAATATGAAAGAAAGAAAAAAACTTTGGTGGTCCTATTGTACAAGTAGGAGGCAATTGCTTGCTTCGATTTTACTCCATCAATTGAGAAGGAGAGAAAGGTACGGCATTTATTTTGTACGGAAGTTTGAAAAGAACAGCACCCATTATTTGATGCCCCCACGAAACATTAGGGTTTTGTTGTTTTCTAATTATTGGAGGAATATCGACTAGTGTTTGTGTCTCGTTTATTTTCCACCTCAAACTTCACGGAAAAAATATGTGGTTCCTAGGTGTTATGTGTACACTGTACAGCCATAGATATCCATGAATGGACTCTTTCAGAGCTTCTTCATCTCTCACACACGTCCAATGGAGATTCACACACACACACACATACGTGTGTGTTTAGGTTATATGAACGTAGTTTCTAGAACACATGGTGACTGAACTAACGTTCCTCTCTTCACGAATTTCGCTTCTGCATGCATGCTACTGATGTAAGGCTTTCCCATGCTTTTCTTATGGCAAGGGTACATTGATACTGAACATAGTACATGTTATATCATAATATTGATGAGGCAAATATTCTTTATATAATTAATGAATTTTATGATTGAAGAAAAAGAGCATAAAAAAAATAATGTTTTGTAGTATTTTGTATTGTTTAGTGACATATGTGTGTGTTGATAATATTACTCTTCATGTAATAAAAAATCTTTAAATAACCATCATGATGAATGATAAATGGGTATATGGGGCAATGAATCTCATTGGCATTAAGTCATCAACTTTACAATGCGCTCTCGCTTTCAGTTTTCAGTTTCATGAGCAAACTTCAATTTTAAGAAAAGCTTGGTATATTACTATCGTTGTTTGGTTACCCTTTAGTTTTTACCCTCACAGTGTCTCAAATCGTGCTTCACGTTTCACTTTGTGGGATTTGAAACGTGAAAAAACACAACAATTTGATTCGACGTTTCCCAAACAATGAATCCAGAAGTGGAAGAATAGTTTAAAGAAGTATATTGATAAGTGGGCTATTTGAGCGTTGACAATGGATATTTACAAAAGAGAATATAAAATACCAATAAGAAATAATGCGTGAAAATATTTATTATCTTGATATATGCACATTAATAGATGTTCCCAAGACATTATTGAAGAAAAGAAAGATAATTATAATAAAATAATCTTTGTAGGTTTTTATTCATATAAATTTATGTATTTTATTTGATTTTATTATTTTTTTTAACTATTACACATAAAAAATATAAATAAGATAAAATAAATATAAAAAATAGTGATTTTCAAGTTGTATAAAGATTTATGTTATAAAAAACTTTATGAATCTCAAAAAAAGATTTTCAATGAAATTTTATATAATTTGGAACACTATTTTAATTAATTTTCTCCAACAATTTCTGTTTTATTATTGATAATGAATTATATTTATTTTATTGTTATTTACCTTCTTTGTTTCAAAATAATGAAAATCAAAATTGTGTTCTACCAATTGTATTTTAATCTTGAGTAATTGGAATTAAACGAATTGACATGATATTTAATAAACTATAAATTTATTTGACTCAGAAACACAGTATTCACCGTGTGAAAAGATTCAAGCAACTTCTTAATTCCCCTATTCGAAATTACTTCAAAAATATCCTTTATCTTTATTAAAACTGACGAGCTTCGTGTGAAAAGATTCAAGCACCTTCTTGGTTCCCCTATTCGAAAATGACTTCAAAAATATCTTTTATCTTGAAGAACTAAACGATTACTTAATAAATTTTAATCATGGTTATACAAACAAAATGTTACATCCAATTTACAGGGTCATATACTTTTTAAAAATTAATGTCCCTTTCAAAAAATAAAATAAAAATAAGTTTAAATCTAGACTATTATTGCATGCTTTATTAGTATACAAGATTTTACAAACTTATTATCCTTTATGAAATTGCATGATAATCTTTATATTCTCTGTTCATTTTAATTACACCTTGTATTAAATAAACTAATTTAAGGGAGGAGAAGGAATCAAATTTTATCTGGTTTTGTATGTAAGAATTTGTATTGTTTTCTTTTTAATAGTTTTCTAATATTACTAATTAAATTATATTTCAAAAGGGTTTATTCTTGGAACAGCTTCAAGAATGCATCTATTTATCTACACAGTGGTTGCTATTTATTAAAAGAAGTACAAATCAAACCCTTTAAGAATCACGTTATAGTAACATTATTTATTTGTATTCTAAAGCTTCAATAGGTTAGCACTAAAGTTCTTTTTTAACTTTGAAGTTATCATTAAAGTAACTTAAACTACTTTTCTATTGAATTCATATCTTCCTTTTTATATTAATTCATAAAATTTGGCATCATACGTAGAAGATATTAATATTTTAGTTTTATTTTTGTGTTGCAAAAAAAATTGTTTAATAAATCTTCAATTCAATTTGACATTAAAGAAAATAAAACTATGTGTAGTTTTTAATATGGGAGAACAAAAATTGGCATTAGTAGAGAAAAATACTAAATTGAATTATCTCAACAAAGAGTTTGATAATTTTTTTATTTGCTTAAAACCTATCATTTAAATAAACTTATATACCTGATGTTGAACCTTTTTATCTATAGTTCTTTGTTTTTGGGATTCATAAAATGTCAAAACTAACATTGTAATGCATATTATGAATGGTTGAAACTTAGATATAAAGTACTATCATATTTTTTTTACATATTTTGATTTTCTTTTTATATTCAAAACTTGTAATTTTTTTTTTTTAATTTTTAGCGTTAAGAAATCATAGTACCGTGTGTTTTGAATACAATTTTATGTATTTTTAATATTAATATAAATCAATCACAGTTAAATTACAATTAAATTATTAAGCTACTGCCTCAACTAATCGTGATCAACTTTTTAAACCCTACTGTATATAAATCTTGTGGCACATTATTTTGTTCAAACTTTTACCAAGATTTTTGAGCTTTATGAAAACAACACCTTTTCTTTATGTTGACACTTCCTTATAATGGTTACACCTTTTTTTTTCCCAGATTGAAATGACGAAAAAAGTTTATATTCTTCTTAGCTTTTATAATTTGTTATGATATTTTCATAATTCACTCTTTCCAACACATCTATTCAATAATTTATTTTTATATTTTTATATTATTCTTTATCTATCTTATTTTCTTCTTTCTTCATCATCAATTAAAAAAAAAATTAAATTATATATCTATGAAATATTAAAAAAAAATGTCAAAAAATCTTTTCCCTTTACGATTATGTAAAAAGAGAAAAGAAACATTACTGAATTGAACTATTCACTAAAATAAAAGAGGGTTATGTTTACAATTTAATGATTAATCAAAGTCATAGATAAAAAAAATATACTCATTATATATTTACATGTTATTTTTTTTTATTTATGTATTATTTTCTATTATATATATATATATATATATATATATATATATATATATATATATATATATATATATATATATCATAAAATGTTTAATACACGGTACAATTGTTAGAATGAAGACCCTTCTATGGAAACTTTCAACAATTACAATAATTCAATAAAATATATATTTTTATATAAAATGAAATTCTTATAAAATTAATGATAAAAATTGTTTTATTTATCAAATGATAAAATCGTAAAAGATAAAGGATAATCACTGATATAATCAAGATTTTAATAGTTATATTTATCTTTTTGTAAACCTCCGATTATAAAAAAAATATTAATACAACTAAAAATAATAATCTTTCTTATTCAACAATAAAAAAATATAAAAATAAAAATATCACTTTTTAATATATATATATATATATATATATATATAATATAAAAGAGATATTATTTTACAAAATTATTTTGATTTAAATAAATGATTATCCATGTTACAATTTTAATATATATATATATATACATATATATATAATTATTATTATTTTAATAAAATATTAGAAATATAAAAATGATTATAAAAAAATAACAAATTTAATATATATTTTTTATTGATTTGTAATATATTATTATTTTATTAATTTTAGAAACAAAATTATAATTATATATTAAAAAAATAAATATATAATTTTAAAAAATTATTTTAAAAAATTGTTTTGTTAATAAAAATAATTAATAATTATATGGATAATTTTATAAGTGGATAAATATATAATTTTAATTTAATTATTTATTATTTAAAAAAAATATTTTTTATATATAATTTTTTTAACGAATAAGAATTTTTTTTACTATATTTTATTTATATTTTTTCTCACACTTTTTTTTTAATTACTGAACACCCTCAAAATATAAAACGAATTATATTGAAATCTAAAATGATTTAGAAGCATTATTCATTCGGATTACAATCTTCATTTGCATGTCTGGTTTCAATTACTTCATTCTTTCTATAATTAAGACAAGAACAATTATTAACAAGGATCAACACATTAAGTTCTTATTGCATATAAACAAACTTTATTAAAAAAAATAAAACCTAATGATTTTTTGTTTGGGAATATTAATTATAAATTTAAACTAAATAACCTAAATTGTATCAAAATATTAAGTATGGGAAAACTCTTTACTAATGACCTACACCAAGAGAAATGCATCTACTTCAATGAATTGATATTAAATTATATTAAGAGACACATGTAGTTTATTTCTATAATGAGATGCTTCCAATTGAATATGAATAATTAGATGAAAGAGGTTATAAAATATTTATTAAAATTCACAAAGTAATCAAAAAATATTCTCAACTAAAAAACTATCTAGCTATATATTACAGACTTAATTTTATATTTTTTAATTTATTTTAAACTCAAAATCTATTTATGTTAAAAATTTAAGTTTGAGTTTAAAGTTGTATTAATCAAAATAAAAAAGTTAAATAACTTAAAAAACACATCATTTAATATTTAAAATTTTTAATTAAAAGTGATGTCATCATATTGATGTAACCATTGATTAGATTATCTTTTGAAATCTTATTTATTAATATGAGGAGATGTATGGGAGATGGTGGATTATTAAGGAAGCAGGTAATTAAAACAAAACATTGATAAAATGTTGGAAGTGGTGGGATTTGGTTTGGTTTTCCTGGAGGAAGAGGGAAACAAATTAGTACTGTGTGGGAATCTTGCAAAAGTGTGATTACCAGTTTATCACGGTAACAGCATTTTGGAATATAGTTCATATCATATACAATAATGGAGAACATAGTGTGCATAAACAATTGGGACCCATATATATTATGTTCTTCAATTTCGTATTCAATTATATGCTCATATTCTAAAGATATTCTACATTATAGGTTAAATTTCGTCCATGAACATGTCAATCAGTTTATGAATCGCGTGCAATAGGTCGAAATTTGGTGTGTAATAATGCAGACACCACGAACCTTCCACCTCTGGAAAGTTGTTGGTACCATTTCATACACTCACTCAACCCTAACACGCAAAATCTGTATAAGATTATAGTGACGTTTTATTAATAATTTAAGATTATGCATGTTTTTAATATGTTCAGTTTACAAGTCTCGTTAATTCTTCATATATATTTGATAATTTTACCTCGATTATGATGAAAACATAGTGAAATGCAAAAATGTTGTATAAGTTCGTCAACACAAACACGAGGTGATGTCTTTTCACAGATTCTATCTAGTGAATTGCACCGATAAAGATGAATTAACACTTTCACTGTTCGATTTTGTCTTTTATTCCATGGTTTAATTCTAAGTGACCAAGGTTACGTTTGTGTCTATTGGAAGGAAACTGATTGAATCAAGCACTTAATTTCTTTGTCCCTTTACTAATTATCCGTCACATCACTTTGCAACCAACCCTAATTCATCACACATAGAAAAGATTTAAACATCGTAAAACATGGGAGGAGATTAGTATTACATTAGTTTTATTAAATAAATATTTTATTATAGATATGAATATAACATTAAATATTTAATAAATATTCTTTTAATGTATAAACATGGTTTTATCTATGTAGTTTATCCAAGTAAAAGCACTCTAGGATACTTTAAATAAGCCCTTAAGTTGAAATTTGTCAATTAAAAATTCATGATTTAAAAAATTGTCAATAAAACTTATTAGTCAGTTTCGGAGATTAGTCATTAATAAAATCATTCAGTAATTTACATTAATCACTCGTACCTAAAGCAAAAATAAAATATTCTTTTAGAAATATAAGAAAAGAATTTTAATTTTTTAATAGCATATTATCAAAATTTTAATTAATGAAAATAAGCTCTGACTTAAAATTAATTTTTGTAACAAATTATTATTTTCACAGTTACTCTCAACCTGATAGTGTTAAAATGTAATAAGAGATTAGTTTAATTTAACAACATACTGAAAATAAAATAAAATAAAATAAAAATGCATATATGAGTTAACAATATCCTTCTATACATGAATGATTGCAGAAAGTTTTGGATTTAAACATTACGTGTCATTTTGATGTACTCTGTTTTTTATTGGTTCAACAGAACCAGCTGGTGTGAGAAGATAGCTAGAATGTTTTCATGTTTCAAATAATTCAATTCTTCGTTATTTCAAAATACAACACGTACAAATTATTATTTTTTCAATATCTACAAATAAATGTTCATTTATGAGGAGAATCTCATGATCATGCTATCGTCATTATATACACCAAATTTTAATGTTTGAACTTAACGTATATATGTAGATGCAGATGTTTATTTAAAGTCAGATGTGAATGATTAAATGGAGAAGAAATGCTTTAAGATGGTGAATGTGAAAGGATAAGGAGAAGAAAGAAAGAAAGGGAGAGTGGTGTGTAAGGTGAAGTAGGGATGGCATAGGGAGAGAGGGAAGAAACAAAAGAAGGTGGTCCCATGTGTAGCAGAAAAGGGCAAGGATGAACCAGAAGGGTTGGGTTCAAGCAGCGTAATAGACATAAATACAGAGAGTGAGTGTGAGAGAGAGTGTGTGTACCAACCAACCCCACCATCACTCCCTCGACGTTGCGTAACCGTAAGCTCCAATTCCTACCCTCTCAATTCACATGCAAATTCATCATCTTCTTCCAATCTTCTTTCTCATATACTCTGCTTCCATGTGTCTCCCCTGACACACCTCAACCCCACTCCAATTTTCCTCCATCTAACTCCCCCTCCTCCCATGGTTTCTCTCCATCACCAACCATGCCCAACACCTTCTCCTCTCTCCTCTGGTACCCCCCTTCTCTCTCTAATGCACTATTATTCAGACCTTATTCTGTACCACAGCTTCATATACTAATAACATGTTTCATTTCATGCTTCTGACATGATTTTCAGAAGTTAACCGTTTCAGTTTCTATGCCCAAAACGTCATTTCTTCATCCTTAACCAACTCTCTAATACCTAATAAAAATTATTCAAATTTTGGTTTATAATAAAATTCATATGTATTTTGTCTCAAAACTAATCATGAATCAGAAAGTTTTCCAGACAGATATTCCAACCTTAATACCTTAAAGATTTTGAAAAATGGTGGATGTTCATAAATTATATCACATGTTTAACCAATTCAACGTATGCTAACGCAAAGTTCAAAGATGACTAGGTTTGAAGGTTTGTTTTAACATGGTTTTATTATTTCTCTTTTTCTTGACAGGTGGATTGGTAAAAAGTTGCGTAGAAGGAACACAGTTAGTAATGGAGACAGTGGCAACGATAACGACAACGTTAATGTTGTCGGTGCGGCAGTTGTGGATGATAATCCATTTGGCAGCACGGTGGAATGTTACGCTTGCACGCAGGTAGGCGTGCCGGTGTTTCACTCCACCAGCTGCGACAGTTTTAACCAGCCGCAATGGGAGGCTTCGGCCGGGTCCTCTCTCGTTCCGATCCAGAACCGTCCCAATAAGGTTCTCGGCTTTCGAGCTGTGTCCGGGTCGAATGTTGGACCTTTTGGACGGGTTTTAGATCCGCGGAGCAAGCGCGTGCAGAAATGGAACCGGGCGCTGCTGCTGGCGCGTGGGGTGGCGTTGGCGATAGACCCGCTGTTCTTCTACGCGCTGTCGATCGGGAGGGAGGGGTCGCCGTGTCTGTACATGGACGGCGGCCTGGCGGCGATGGTGACGGTGGCGCGGACGTGCGTGGACGCGGTGCACCTCTTGCACGTGTGGCTGCAGTTCAGGCTGGCGTACGTGTCGCGCGAGTCGCTGGTGGTGGGGTGCGGGAAACTGGTGTGGGACGCGCGCGAGATCGCGTCGCATTACCTGCGATCGATGAAGGGATTCTGGTTCGACGCATTCGTGATTCTCCCCGTTCCCCAGGTGCGAGAATTTTTCGTCTTTCAACTACACTCATTAGTTCGTTCTATCTCCTTTCTCGCTCACGCGCATGCTCAACGTGTTCGCTTCTACACTTTGCCTGTGTGAGTGTAAGAAAAATACCTACGGCAAATAAATTATTTTTTATTTAGTTGAAAAGAAAGTACAATGAAAAAATAATTTCTTCTACTTAATTTCTAATTAAGTGAAATTATAATATTTTTTTCTCTTCTCTCTTTCCTTCGTCCATACTTGCAAACAGATAATCGTTTATTATAGATTCTGTTAGCAAGTGTAATAATGCAAAACCGACAACAATTAAGAAAATAAAGAATTCTTTTTAATAATTAAGGAAAAATTCAAATTCAAATTACAATGAAAATGATGGTATGGAATGTCATTGCACTTTTTATATGAAAAAAATAAATTAAAGTTTTAATTCTTTGGTTAATAATTAAGATAAACTTGTTACTAATACTTTTTACAACGTTAAAATTTCAACTTGCTTAAACAGTTCAACATACTTTTTAATTATATTTACATAAATTTTTAATTATTGAAGAATATATTAAAAAATATATTATTAGTTTTTAAAATTCTTTCACTATTCCCTTAAAATTTGCTGTTTTTCAGATTGAGAAAGTTTTATATCCAGTTAACCTTTTAAACCTAAATAAAATTATCAATTTTAAATTTTTTTTTTGTGGATTTAAAATATAAAACAATTTTAACTTTATAAGTTGAAAATTTTGTGAAAAAAATCAAATAAATTTGCAGGACTTTATAGGATGTGAAATTAGGGTTTATAGATGGAAAAAGGTTTATTATTTTTTGGTGAAATTTGATTATTTGTTGAAAATGAATTTTGACTGGAAAAAGGATGCAAAAAATTCGATCAATTCAATTTGTGAAAAAGTTGGAATAATCTCTATACAAACCAAACTTGATTAGTTTTAAACATAGACGGGCTAAGTTATATTCCAAAAAAAGAGGGAGTTACTTGATTTGAAAAAAATTGGAAGACCCAAAATTGTTCATAATCCAAATTAAAGGAAACAAAAGTGTAATTGTTCACAGTCTGCTACATTCCATCCAATGTTACAGGACTGCAAACCATACTCATGTCACATGGTCAGTAGTACAGTGAAATATATTCAACAGTGTGTCAATATTTCATGCTCACAAACACTTTGTCTTCATCCATGTGTTGCCACTTTCTCAATTGACTACACTGAAATCACTTTTCAAGAACATGCCTTAAACTAAAAGTTTTGATACAATCTGAGTTGCTTTTCTTCTTTGGTTTTTGGAATCAAATCTATTGATGATTGAATTATTTAAGAGGTATCTTTAAAAGCCAATAAAATTAACACATACCCAATGGCCTGTTGTGTCTCTGCCTGTTTATATGATATCAACTATCCTTTAACTGCGTTTTTCCTTCTGTTTGCAGGCTGTGTTTTGGTTGATAGTGCCAAAATTGATAAGAGAAGAGCAAATTAAAATCATTATGACCATAATGCTATTGATTTTTTTGTTCCAATTTCTCCCCAAGGTTTACCATAGCATCTGCATGATGAGAAGAATGCAAAAAGTCACAGGCTACATCTTTGGTACCATTTGGTGGGGCTTTGGTCTCAATCTCATTGCTTATTTTATTGCTTCCCATGTAAGTAAACCCCATAACTGAAGTTTGAGCCTGTTTATGATCAAGTTGTCATATAATTCATTGCTAAAAAATTGAACATTCTTTTTCTTTTCCCTCACGGTTAATCTATAGGTTGCTGGAGGCTGCTGGTATGTCCTTGCAATTCAACGAGTTGCATCATGCCTTCGGCAGCAGTGTGAGAGAACTAACGGATGCAATCTTTCTGTGTCATGCTCAGAGGAGGTATGCTACCAGTCTTTGTCAAGTGCAATCGGAAATTCATGCGGTGGAAACTCAACAGTGGTGTTAAGAAAGCCTTGGTGCTTAGATGTCGAAGGACCTTTCAAATATGGGATCTACCAATGGGCACTTCCAGTCATATCAAGCAACTCATTGGCTGTAAAGATTCTTTATCCCATTTTTTGGGGTTTGATGACCCTCAGGTAAACTGGTTAATAAGCAGACTTTTATTTTACTATTTCTCAAGTTAAGAAGTTTGTACTAGTTCATGTTAGAATATGTATGAATCTGTATATACGTCAAAACTCAATAAACATTTATTTTGTCCATGGGCTTGGCTCATGATACATCTCTCTCAAACCTGAAGGCATTTGGAAACTAACAGTGTGTTTTGATAATTGTACTGTTGAAGTGTTTGAGTGCAATTCTTTTAACCGTGAGTTCGATAAATATTTTGTATTTTCGTTTTCACCTAATCTGATATTGCTCTCTCAGTTTCAATTTGTGGTTTTCCAGTGGTCATGTTTTATCTAAAAAGCTTATAGTTAATCGGTTAAACAGAAATATGTAGCATTGTTTTATCTAGTTTGTAGTTGTAATAAATTTAGAAAATAAATTGAATTTGGGTTCATGCAATATTATGTTTCCTAAATGTGTTTGATTGAGATGTATCCTAATGTCATAGCATATAAGTTTCTCGTCCGTTTGACTGAAAATCTGTGTGTTTTTATAATCCATACTATTCTTGCAGCACTTTCGGAAATGATCTTGAACCCACAAGTGACTGGCTAGAAGTTATTTTCAGTATATGCATTGTACTCAGTGGACTTTTGCTCTTTACATTATTGATTGGTAACATTCAGGTATGCAAAAACCATTATTATTATGAAAAGATGCTCATATACAAACATGTAACGAATGGGGTCGTTCCCAGGTATTCTTACATGCTGTCATGTCAAAGAAGAGAAAGATGCAACTGAGATGTCGAGATATGGAATGGTGGATGAGGAGGAGGCAGTTGCCATCACGATTAAGACAAAGAGTTCGCCATTTTGAACGACAGAGATGGGCTGCGATGGGAGGAGAAGATGAGATGGAAATGATCAAAGATTTGCCTGAGGGGCTGAGGAGGGACATCAAGCGCTATCTTTGCCTCGACCTCATTAGAAAGGTGAATATTCAATCCTGCAAAATGAAAGAAGTTGGAAAGTAAAATGCCTCTATAAGTTGGCTAGTATCCTTAGATGTTAGATTGTGAAAAACAAACAAAAGAAGCTCGTATGTAAAAGATTAGTTAGCTCAACATTTGTTATTAATAATAATGTTGTTTAAACATGACTACAGAAATCATAATAGAACTTTTAATCACTTTCCCAAAGAGAAGTTAGTTTCTTGTGCAGCTGCCACAAACACGTAAGTCTCTATGTTTGCATGATAGACAGTTCATAGAATTTTCTCAATAGCCCTGCATCCCACATGGAGAGTTCACTGCATGTTGTTGGAGATTCCTTATTTACTAGTAATATGACCAAAATTTTAAAATAATGTATATAAGTGGAAGATAATCCTGTGAGTTAGCTTTTGGAATTGATTTAGGCATAAACCAAAATTCAATGCTGCAAACTTCATGCTTAAGATGCTTATCTATAAATAACAATATTACAGCATAGGGTGAATTTCATCATCACTTTTTGATGTGCAGCAATACCCTTTTGCTATGGCTATTTAACCAACCTCTCCTAAAACGTAGTTTTTTCTGTTTGACAGGTTCCTTTGTTCCACAACTTGGATAACCTTATTCTTGACAACATCTGTGACAGGGTGAAGCCCCTAGTCTTCTCTAAAGATGAGAAGGTATTAATCATGTAAACAATTGAAATCATCTGATAGCAAATTTTCTTCCAAGAATTCCATGAAAAGAAGACTATCATGTTGTTAATGCCCTTGTGAAACAGATAATCAGAGAAGGTGATCCTGTACCAAGGATGGTGTTCATAGTCCGAGGACGCATAAAACGCAACCAAAGTTTGAGCAAAGGCATGGTAGCCTCAAGCATCCTTGAGCCTGGAGGGTTTTTGGGCGACGAGCTACTATCATGGTGCCTTCGCCGGCCGTTTATAGATAGACTTCCGGCCTCCTCAGCGACATTTGTGTGTCTTGAATCAGCAGAAGCCTTTGGCCTTGATGCAGATCACTTGAGGTACATCACTGATCACTTCAGGTACAAGTTTGCCAATGAGAGGCTGAAGAGAACAGCAAGATATTACTCATCCAATTGGAGAACCTGGGCTGCTGTCAACATTCAATTTGCTTGGAGACGTTACAGGCAGAGGACTAGAGGTCCAGTGACCCCTGTAAGGGACATTGGAGGCACTGAGCGCAGGCTCTTGCAATATGCTGCAATGTTCATGTCAATAAGGCCACATGACCATCTTGAATGAAAGCTGCTGTCCATGTTTTTCAATTATTGTTGCTTCCTGATCCTCATTAAAACTGTCTCAAGTCCATTAGACCTTATGATTTTTTATGCTGTTGTGGAAGTCATGGAATCATTCATGAAATGTATAAAAGAAAAAGAAAGCAAGTATGAGTAATTACAAAATTATTTAGGCCTTGTTTGTTCAATTTATTATCAGTTTCATAGTTTTTATTTTTTCATGGGATTTTCATCTCAACCAATCCCCTGTCGAGGCTGCTATGTGCTTAATGAATTATTGATTGAGAAGAACTAGTCAGATTTAGTTATATTCTGGTACGAGAATTTGCCCTGCTATTTAAAAGGGTGACCTTGATTCAATTCTTACGGAATACATGTTGAGAGAGAGAAAATGAACTTTAAATGGGACCAAGTCTCATAGTCGATTCAATATTTGTGGAATACTTCAAGATCTGACCAAGATGTCAAAAATTCTAAATATGAGGTTGCATAAAAAAAAGAGGGAAATGGATTTTAGTGATTAAACTACCTATTTTTAATCATCTAATTTCATAATACAGTCTAAATTTAACTCATATCATCTATTAATTATTTAACAGTGATTAAACAAAGAAAATGGAGTCTCTGATGTTTTCACTTAATGATTTTTCAAATATTTAAATAATTTAATTTTATTCTCAAACAACTACAAATCATAAATATAACATTTGAATTACAACGTGTCAACGGAGCGGAGTGGGCGGGGACGATTTTGTCTCCCCGATCCCCTCCCCGACTTTTTAACCGTCTCCGTCCCCGATCCCGCTCGGGTTAGAAATTAAGTTTCTGTCCCCACTAGGTTTTGGGTTTCCCGTCCCCACCCCGTCTCCGATTTATATTATTTTTAAAAAGATAATTATATTTATAATAAATTAATTTTATTATGTATTTTTTATATATAAATAAATATTTATAATTATAATTATTATTAATTAAATATATATATTTTAATTTATTATATTTATATTAAAATATATATGTAAAAGAAATATTTAATCATTTTTTATTTTTATATATATAGAATATTTATAACATTATTATTATTATTATTATTATAACATTGTATTCAAATATTTGAATATTTATAACATTATTATTATTATTATGGGAGAGATTAAGAAAATGTGAAAAACATACTAATAAAAGAGAATAATGTAATAAATTAATTAATATAAAAGATTAAAAAAATTAAAAAATGGGTAGAAAAACAATAAAAATGGTGAAATATAAAAAAAATGACCTTTTTATCAAGAAAAAATTTAAAGATTATTTTTAAAGGGTATATATATATAAGTGAAGTTAATAAAAAGCCTAAAGAGGTTTGCCCCCTTGTGCAAGGCAACACAACAGAGGAGGAGAAAAAATGGGGGAGAACAGAACAAGACAGCAAAAAACAGAACAAAACAGAGCCTTTTCCGGTGTTTTCGGTTGTGCTGTCTAAATTTGGAGATATTGTGATGAAATGAGGTCATCATTACCTCTAAATATGGCAAATCATTTCTGCCAATCCCATTCCCATTTTTTTCTCTCTTTGTTACCAACCTAACCTATCACAACATGTGTCATGGAGGTCCTCATCATTTCCTCCTTTCACCAGCTTCTCTAGGGTCTCCTACCTTCCTTTGGAGCCCTAGGTCTTGCTGTTTTCTGCTATTCCCATTCAGGGGCCTGATATGCAGCTATATGTTCCGCTTAATTAAGTACCATCATTAATCACACCCCCTTTCTCTCTGTCTTTTGTTATCGTTTTTTCTTTGTGTTTATATGGATCTGTAAAAAAATATATTTGTTGATTGTAGTGATCTAGGAAGGCAAATTTATGCCCAAATGTTTTATCTTTTTGAAAAGGAGAATCTTAAGAAAAAAATGTACAAAATTTGATGACTTAAACCACACCTTTTGTTCATCTTCTGCTAATCGTAACTGCAATTTATAATTGATACATTGGAGGATGTAATCTCTAATTTATTGTTGTGTCTTGCGATTAGAACATTATAGAGAATTGCAGACAAATGTGGCCACGTAATAGTTTGATGACCTCAAAAACCATAATATTGAGGACTATGGTTTCAAACCTTTAACAACCTGATCTTGCTTGAAACCTATAATTTTCCGTTAAATTATTAGTATAAGGGCAGCTTTTTTATAATGTTGTTTGAATGGTATTTAATTCTTATGATAACATGAGAAAAGGAACCCACAAAATACTTGTAGTGCTTCCTTGTTTTTCTGAATTAGATGAGAATGGTTTTTTTTTCCTATAAGCTTTTGTTGAAGTGATTTGATTTGGGGTGATTCGAAAATGTGTTTACAGTTGTATTTGTATATCCTACGGTACCATGGGTTCATTGCATACCTTCATGAATACTTGTAACAAATGTGAACCCTGCATTAGAGTAGAATGTGTACTATAAAGCTTGATGAATGAATGATTAATATTAATGACATTAAAATATGACAAGTTTCTCAACAATTTTGTTTATGGTTGTCTTCCTCCACAACTATGATGGGATTAGCCTCCTTTGAATTGAACTTCTTCTCTCTTAAATGTTTTTGCGCCCCAACTCCAGTTGTTCTAGCAATCTCAAACTCTGTAATTATTTTTATTTATTGGTGACATTATCCCACTTCCCTTTTAGACAGTTCACTATTTTTTTTTCCTTTTCGATTGTGCATCTAACCTTTATCACTATATTTTACAAACTTTTTATTTTTTGTCATAGGTTAATTGTCAGTGTAGAATCTGACATATCAACCTAATGGGTTTGAAACTTACGAAGCAGGAACCACCCAAAACCGAGGACCTAAGTCTGCAGCATCATATGATCAATTACCTTACCAAGAATTTTATTCGTAAATTGGTATCTAAGCAACGGAGAAGAATGCTTATAGCTGGTTATGATCTTGACATGTCATATATCACAGATCGAGTATTAGCAATGTCATTTCCTTCACAACGTATGCGAGCAATGTATCGAAATCCTCTCTGGCAGGTTAAATCTGTATTGGACATGAGACATTATGATCATTATAAGGTGCACCTTCAACTCATGGTCATGTATAGTGCGTTTAATTATCTTGTCTACCTTCAAGTTATTGGAATTTCATCATGAATTCTTGTGTAGTTATGCTCTAATGTATATGTGTATTAAACCAGAATTAAAGATTTTTTGGATATCAATCATTGGATTTTTTGTTCTTTGAAACCAGAATTTTTTTGGTTTGCCTTCATTATTTAATATAGTATAGTGCATGAAAGTGGTTAATTTCTAGTAAAAATCTTTGAAATAGCACTAATGTAATTTTATTTGATGAAAAAGACTAGAATTATCCCCTTGAATTCAGGCCAATCACTTGTGTACTTATGATACTTAGAGGTCACTTGTGGGATATTATGATTTTGGTTCTGCATTCCTTGCTACTGATGTAACTTACATCTTCATAAAAGTGGATGACACTATTATTACCTATTTTTGCATTTGTCAAAATATACTCTGAAAGCTAATCAAAAACTTTTTTCTTGTTCGATCTTCTGAATAAGTAGCAATGCTAACAAATGACAAGTGTAGAGGGTATTGTTTGTACCTATCATTCTATTTTTTTTCTGTCCTACTATCGCTCATTGTTATAGCTAAGGCATATCATTTCTAAAATTTTCAGATCTATAATCTCTGCATAGAAGAAAGTTATGATCCAGCTCACTTCCATGGACGCGTGGAACCATACCCCTTTGATGATAACCATGTGCCATCTCTTGAAATGATAAGAGCTTTCTGTGAAAGTGTAGATTCATGGCTGGCAAGTGACCCCAAAAATATTGCTGTTATTCATTGCATGGTATGACAGTTCACACTTCCTATTAGGACCTGTAGCAAATTTCAAATATGATTTAGAATTCATCACAGTAAATTTTTGGGAAATAAATATCATAACATGCCACATGAGATTTTCAATCTCACCTTCAGAATGAAACCTTGACCTCATCTAAATGAGTTTTAAAGTTGTTCGTAGGTCTGCTACAAACTGGCTTAAGTTGTTGTGGACTTAAGGCTATTAACTTTTACTGATTCTCGAAGCTTATATTTGATATTTCATAAAGATCATGAAAATTTCTTCGACTTAAAACTATGTATAAAATGGAGTCCCATAATATATCAATGCAATTTACAATCTTACAAGTGAAACTTTGGTTGGATTCTTCCTAGATTAATTAGTTTGCTACAAAGAAAATAGTTATTTAGATGTTAAAAATACGAGTAAAAGACTTTATCTCTAGGACAGGTAACTATAACTAGTTACAATTTGTCTCATTTGTATTCTTTGGTTCCTATTATGCAGGCAGGAAAAGGTAGAACTGGATTAATGGTGTGTGCATACCTAACTTATTGCGGCATGACAGCAGATGAGGCTCTTCAACTGTATGCAGATAGACGAACAACCAATAATGAAGGAGTAAGTTATATTAGGTATAATTCCAACAATTTGAAATGTAAATCTATCTTCACTAACACAACTTTTTGCTAATGTTTATCATTTTCAAAAAGCAATGATTATCCACGAATGATAAGCTAATAAGAAATGGGTCTGAGAATGTGAAAATCATATGTACTCCACCCCAAGGAAATTAATGAAAGAATTAATTTCAACTACATTTGTGTGCCTATGTGGAATCAGGTATCAATACCAAGTCAACGTCGTTATGTGGCATATTGGGACACTCTTCTTTCCAATTCTGTTCCTAGGGGAACTGGAATTGGACCACCAAAGGTGAACTTGCCTCAACCATGTAGCAGAGAATTGCGACGAATCCGGCTTTATGATGCAATCAACATTGACACTATATTCTTTGTTATCTCAGAGTTACATGAGGTTAGTTCACCACAATTTATGATTCAACAATGTTTGAATTATCTTTCTGGAATTGTTTATGGAGGGCACATTATATTTTATTTTCTTGCTAGCATGGTAATATGCGCTTACTGAGGGTAGTATAAAGCATTTGGATTATTTACATGTTAATAGTCTCATTAAGTTTGTAATACTTGTACAACACTGGTAATCGAGCTAATTATTTCACAGCACATCTGTCATCAATATTAATATTTACTTTCTTTTTCATCAATCTCTATAGGATGTATGAAATCCTTAAAATATAAGACTTGGTTTTTATACTCATCAAGATGGGTTCCTATTTGTTTACAGGTTCCTAACGAGGTGTATCGTCCCCCAGTGGAAGTTTATCGTAGCAGCTGTAGACAGGTAAAGAAAGGGTATCAAAGAAACAGCAGCCCTCGCTATTATATCTCTATTCTTGAAGATGATAGAGATGGAAAACAATCAGAAACAGAAGAACCTCGCATTGTAGTTCAAATGGACACAGAGAGTCCTGCTATATACCAGAAATCATGTTTGGACCATTACTTTGATAAACCTATACAAGTAAGTAACCAATGAAAAAGAAATTAGTCCTTTTCTAACCTTGTTTTTTCTTGGCATACTTTTATTGGTTTTGTTCGTTTTTTTTTTTACAAATTGTGAAAAAGAATATGAAAATTCAGAACATGAAGAAGTATTAGTATTTGCTCGTGGAGTTCTTTTATCTAATATCCATTTTCACTACTATCCACAAATGTTTTTATTTCACTTTAAATCTTTGAACAGGTAACTGGAGATGTACGTGTCATATTCTATGAGAAAATGATAGGAGGTCGCCTTTTCTACTGCTGTTTTAATACAGCTTTTATTAGGAACAGCTTACTACAGGTAATCTCATTTCATCCTTTGTTCATGGTATTTTTAGCTTTGTTTGCTGATTGAAATATTTAGATGGGGGGAATTATATCTTTAAATTTGATTAAAACCAAAACAGCAAGAATATGTTCTTTGTCATGCAAAATATTTACAAGGTGAGGCTTATATAACACAAGCATTGTGTAAGAGACAAGGAAATATAAAAGAGGAGACAAAACAAACCAAGTTATAATGATTTTAACTACAGATATTATTTAAGAAGTACAACTGTGAATATGAAATGAACTTCATATGGCATGTCATTTGCTTTCTATTGATTTGACATTTATAGTTAAATAGAGAATCAACAGTGTGTTTAATTCCCTTTTGTAACTATTATTTTGTAGCTCACAATACAAGAGCTGGACAAAGTTGGGAAGAAGGGAAAATCAATATGTGGCCCTGACTTCTGCCTAGAATTATTGTTTGGTCCTGCTAATACAGGATATTCATCATCAAGTATATCCAATGATGAACATTGTAGTGATAATTCTTTATAATAATGTTTCCAAAAATGTTACATAATATGAAAGTCCAAGTCCAATTAACTGCTGTAACATTTTCCTGCAAAATGATCCCAACTGTGATCCCTTGCAATTTGGTGTAGCAAGTGCATTCATTCCTCCAACTGTCTCGCCATCTAATTTTTCATTGGCGAAAGGCACGGGGAGTAAGTGTAATTTTTGTATTATGTTAGTGATTGAGTAGCATTTTGCAGAAGATGAGGTTGAGAGCATTATAATGCAAAAATTTACCAATCTTCTTACTGAACTTAATTTAAATGTTTAAAAATAATTAAAGAATCATCCGTTCGAGGAAAGATACATTAAAGAGTTTGACTTATAACAACAGTTTGAAAATTAGCATTCTTATATTAGTTTAGCAACCTTTTAATGATAGCTTAAAGCTCTTTTTATTAAGGTTGGACCAAAAGTAAACACTTTCAGTAGAGTTTAATTCATCACGGAAATATTTTTCAAGCAATTCAAGACCCGCCATTAAAACAAATTACCATTTTAGGTGATTCTGTGGTACATTTTTTCTCTTCCTCGTGTGGTGATTCTCTAATTGTAAAACAAATATATAGTGAAACCCGCATGAATTTACGTAATGAGAGAGCGTACTGAAAAAAGAAAGTATTATTATATTTCTCTCTGTATTATGGTCAACATGCCTACCACCTCCGTTTCTTGAGTAAAGGAGAAAAATGTTTGAAAAAGTGAAGTGATTAAGGGAATGTCATTGGAATCATGAGTAATTATTGACAAGTCATAATTGGAAGCGAAAAGTGTTAAAAAAATATTAAATAAAAGTCAAAACTAACAGGTACAAAAATTCAGAAATGGTAATGCCCTAAACATTAGACATGGTAATGCCCAAAACAATCCAGAAAAAGAATATATAATTACAATTTGGATGGCATCATTCCCCGTTTCTAAGTAAATTGGTTGAGGAAATAATCTATACTCAAAAACAGAAGTTGGGTAGTTGGTAAGGTACCCTTGTTATCTGCGAGCCTTGCACGCCTTGTTTCAGCTTATGCTTTGTAGGAATCTATCAGAACAATGTAATCTCTGGTTTGTCTCCTTGTCAAGGACATGCAAGCAGCCAAGCACACAATCAGACATAGTATGACTTCCTGTTATTGCTGTTAGATCAATGTTGCAGCTTTACGCGTTGCATAATCTTCGACAATACTAATCGCACTCTTGCTATGGCGCAGTGAAAACTCTGCAAGTAGGATTTGACATTCTTCTACAGTCAGATCACCGTGATGGCCCTGCATATGTTGTGGAACATCCAGCCTGTTAAGTGTCACGAGGCATGCAGCAAACTTTGATAATGGCATTAAAAGATTTGTTTGAGAAATAGATCTGTTTTAGTTCGTTTTTACAGGAAAAATCAATTGTGTTTATGTTCTATGCTCACAATTGTTTCCAAATAGTTTGCATTTCCTAATAAATGCAGAGATTCAACAGCTTTGATGCATAATTAGACTTTTTGGCTCACCGTTATCTTTTAGTTTAGGATACCTGGTTTCCCCTCACTCCCATTTGTACAAACCTTCTCTCTCTTCTACCAATTTCTTTTTTAAAATAAAATTATATGATAAACTTAAATAAATTCATCTAAGGATTTTTCAAGATTAATTAAACTTAGAAGTACAAAACCAAGTAGCAGTTTTTTCAATTCCTCAAATTTAGACAAAATCCATATTAGAATGGCAAAATCCAGATAGAAGATTTAAATTTATTATGTATCCGCAGTTCCATTCAAATAATGTCCTTTGATTTCACCCATTTCAGCTTGTGCTTTATAAATTGGTTCAACACAAAATAAGAAACAGTCTCTCCAATGCATAAATGATTGGGAATTCACATTTGAGTCATTGATCACCACATAAAGTACATAACTAAAATCATTACCATGCGAGATTTTCTATCACAGACAGCATGATGCATGAGGATTCCGGCAGCAACTGAAACATTGAAAGAGTCAACCATTCCTGCCATAGGAATACTGCAGTGCAAATCTGACAACTCCAATGCCTCATCACTAATACCCCTGCAACAAGAACATAGCCACTGTTAAATACATACAAAATCTGAGCTGAAAATAGAACCTAAGTTACTTGCAATATAACTACTATCTAGCATTTTCTTTCAATGACAAGACTGTTGGTGACACCCTGATTACTCACAGTCAATATTTAAAAAACAAGAACAAATGACAGTACATTGAGCTGACATTTGCATTGTCAAAAGAATTACACGGAATTTTCTATGTCCAATGGTTCATAAAAATAAGTATAGCACATCAACAAAATGCAGGAATTTAACCTATTTTCATTCCCGACAACGATTGCAGTTGGGTGTGACCAGTCTAAATCATGAATAGAAACCTGTATCCAACAAGAAAAGGATAGTAAAATAAACGGCCATATCAACTGAAAATTTACAGCATTTAGTTTTGGGATTTATGATAATGAAACACTAACAGAAAAAAAATATTCATCAACAAATGAATGCAAGGCATCAATATATATACTATGATTACCGGTTGCACACAATTTCTCTGGAAATACCCATGTCATAGAGGTTCAACGAAGTTTTAACTTTTACCTAACACAACTTGCACCTTTTATCCAGACTTGGGATCATCTACGTAAATATTTGAAACAAAGCACAATATAGGCAATTAAAAATAGCATAAACAAATCATACCGCATCCATTCCCACATGAGTTGTGGCAATTCGATAACCACGTGATTTCAACATTTTGAAGCACTCCTTTGTAGAGTCCCACAATTCAATGTCCAACCATTTCTCTGCACCCATGCTTACATGTCGATTATCCTTGTACCTGCAACAAGGAAGCCAGACAAAAATTTCAACCAAAAGCAGACTCCTAACTTATGCTTGATAATAACAAAAAATCATAACCCAACACCCTCCCATAATCAATAGAAATAACAACAGCAGCTTCAACAATGTCTAAATAACACAGTTCATAACTCATGATAATAATGCCTCAAAAAATTTCCGAAACTTAACGCATTGACATCACTTTCATAATATCTAACAAGACCATTGACCAAAAACAAATCTAACAAGAATAATCACCATTTTAGTCCCTAAAAGTGTGTAGTGTCATCACATTAGTCCCTAAAACTAAGAAAATTACAATAAAGTCTGAAATTTCAAGTTTTTCATGTAAGCCCCTAAAATCCTGAACTACTCACTGTCATTGGAATCCCCTAGACATGCGTTACTACTATTATTTAATCACTTTATTTGTAATTTTGGATTGATTTTATTGATAGATTGCACTTATTGATGGATTAATGTCATCTAAACTAATGTAAAAGTATTATATCCTTTTGAGGAACTAAAATGACGGATAACTCTCTCAAACATGATGCCAAAGCTTCCACATTGCTGATTTAAATCAAGGCTACTTATTATGAATTATGAGGACAGTATGATACATTAAATCTGAAAAAAAAAAAAAAAACTAAACCTATCTGAGTGAAACAAGAGCGCTCCCAAAATTTCACCTCTACAATGTCAACAACACCTTTTGTTGGTGTCACACGACACGACGTGGACGGACTGAACACCGAGCGCATCGGCGGACCGGAACGCGGCGGAGACATTGCCGAAGTCGCAGAGTCCTTCGACGACAAGGCAGACGGAGTAGCTCCGGTTCCGAACCACGCTCCCGAACTTCCGCCACCGGTCCTCGGAAATGCAGGGCGCGAGGACCTTGACGACCTCATCGCTGCTCAAAACAGTGCCGTTTTGGCAGCGGAAGGCATCGAGGTAGGGGAACCAACTAGGCGCGTGAGATTGGTGAGGGAGAAGAGGCTTGCGGTCCATCTTCATGAGTGTGGAGACGCCGTCGGGACTAGTGAGGAGGTGTTGAACAGTCGGAGATTGGAGTTCTGATTCTTCGGCGGTTAGGGCTGACGTGGAACATCGTCGAGTGAGGGTTAGGCGTTGGTGAGGGAGGAGAAAGGTGCGTTTGAAGAGGGAGGAGGAAGACGAAGACGAAGAAGACGAAGAAGAAGAAGAAGAAGAAGAAGAAAAAGAAAGGGAAAAACACGAAAGGGTTTTGCAAGCACTCATTTGCAGTTTCAGAGTTCAACTACCAACACAATTCTCGTTTTCTAGTCGGATAGAATAAAGATTTTAGAAGAGAGCGGAAGCAAATTTAAAACTATTAGCGTGACAATAAATTAAACTGTTGCTACGTGTAGAATGAGGTAAGCAAGAACATTTGAGGAGATTGATAAATCTTGTTTCTAGCTTTGATTTTAGTTTTGGCTTTATATTGAATGATTTGGTTTTTGGAAAGAGTAGAAAAGTAATTCAACGTTGAAGTAAATGTGTTCAAGAATGAGTAACAAGATTTACTCTTGAGTATAAGATATAAGGTTAAAAAATGAATGATAGATGATATTATTATAAATAAAAGATAACATGTGTAAAAATAATAAATAAAATAATTAATAAATAAAATAATTTTAATAGATTTGAGTTGGATAAATAGTTACATAAATTCTTAAATTTGGAGATTGAATTCTTATAAATTTAAAATTGAGTTTAGATGAGTAATGTTTAATTTAAAAATATTCATTTTATAAATCATTATTCGATTAGGTCAATATATATTTATGAGATTTATTTAATAAAATCTAAAAACTTTAAGAAAATAAGAGATAAGAAAATAAGAGAATAAGAGAGGAGTTTAGTAAGACTCTCATGAATCCCTTAACTCAAGAAGATCATCCGGTGAATATCAGAACTTCGTTGATCTTGAAAATGATTTACATTATCATGTATATGTATTATGATTATGAAGTTACAAAATATCTAGTTTATAGACTTTATGCAAATGTTAGATTTATGACTTCGATTAGAATTTTTAAAATACAGAATTTGACAACTTGTATACCCGAACAAGGTATATATACTTGTGTGATCCCAAGTAAAATAGATGCAGATTTTGATAACTCATATACTTGAGCAACACATGTATATCTCGTGTGACCTCAAGTAAGATGCAAGTTTTGATAACTCGAATATCAGAGTAAGGTATGTATAACTCATGACCCCGAGTAAGATAGATCCAGGTTTTTATACCTAATTAAGGTATGTATAACTCATGTGACTCCAAGACAGATACAAGTTTTAATAACTTGTATACTAGAGTAAGGAATTTATAATTCGTGTGACCCCGAATAGGATAGATGCAAGTTTTTGTACCTGATTAAAATATGTATCACTCCTATGACCACAAGTAAGATAGATGTATGTTTTTATACCTGATTAAAATATGTATAACTCGTGTGACCCAGAGTAAAGTATATATAACTCAAGTTTGTGCAAGACGTATGTAACTTGGGTTTATATGATGTGCAAGGTTTATATAACTCATTTTCTAAATGAAATATATCTTATGACTCGTTTATTTGAGTTAGGTATAAATTTATATTCATTACTCCAAGTGAAACGTCATTTTTATACTCATTTGACCTTAAGTATAGTGCAATTTTATATTTGTGTGATCGCAAGTAAGGTATATTTTTATACTCATTTGACCTTCAGTAAGGTTATATTACATTTTTATACTTGTGTTATCCCAATTAAGGTTATATTATATTTTTATACTCGTGTTACCCCAACTAAGGTTATATTACATTTTTATACTCATTACTCCGAATAAGGTACAATTTTTATACTCATATTACCCTAAGCAAGGTATAAGTTTTATAAGTTTTACAACTCTAAATCGTTGTGAATGAAGTTTGTAAGAGAACCAGATCGGATGAGTTCCTTATATCTTTGACTCATTGGCACTGGCTAGTAGAATGCCCGTAATTCTAATTAAAATGACAGTACTTTGTGGTATCAACATGAGCCGAAGATGGTAGACGTGATGTTGCACACACCAATTTAAGTTTGAAAGCCTCTTGTAAGATGTATTCTCTACTAACATTCAAAGGTGTGTAATGTTCATACTTAGTTGTCCTAGGTTTTTTGGAGGATTGGACTAAGTACGTTCGAAGAGAGTTATCCTTTCTTTTAAATCTGGTGGTGTTGTCCTTCATGGCAATATAATTGGTTGCTCAGGTGCACAGTTTGTCAAGGGTTCTCCGTGGATAGACAAAGCAACTATCAATCAAGGGTTCAGGTTGTAAACTGACTTGTATTGCGTAAAGCAATAACGGAGTACAAATTCGGTATAGAATTTGATACTTTTGCAAATTGTTCCATGAAACTATGGAGGGATTCACCATTGCCTTGTTTCACACTTTCTAAAGTCACTAAAGTCTTCCACTGTTTTTTTGTTGGATTTGAAAAAGTTTAGCGTTATTATATTCTTTTTATATTATTTATCTCCTCATGATTTGTTTGTTGACATTTGTCCATTTTTTTGAGGTTGTTGAGGGTAATTATGGGATCCATATTCCTATTTGAATTTGATATCGTCTGACTTCAAGTTAAGACTATGGAATAAAAGAGATCATGAATCATTTTATTAGGTCTCACAGTGGGTGTCAAATGTTCTTATTGAGCAGATGTAGATCGGCAAGAGGATGTGAGGAGATTGATGAACTATATTTCGAGCTTCAGTTTTGAGGATGTTAAGTGATTTCCTTTTTGAAAAAATGAGAGGGTTATATGCAAAAGACACGTTCACACTTATTTAAATAATAGAGTAATATATTTGAGAATAAATGATAAGGTGTGATGAATATAGAAGAAATAGAGTTTGAGATTAATCTCCCTTGTATATAAATCACACATAGGGTAGTCTATTTATAGTAAAGAGATACAACTAAAAGAGTAACTGAAAGTAACAGAATAAACAAAAGATATTGTTTGATATTGTGGTTAACAATATCTAACAATATCTTAACAATATCAAATAATATCTAAACAATATCTAACACTCCCCCTCAAGCTGGAGCATACAAATCGTATGGGCCAAGCTTGTTACAAATATAATCAATTCTAGGACCCCGTAAAGATTTAGTAAAAATATATGCTAACTGATCACTTGAGTTAACAAACTCAGTCTTGATGTCTCCAGACATAATCTTTTCTCGAATGAAATGACAGTTAATCTCAATGTGTTTGGTCCTCTCATGAAAGACAGGATTAGAACTAATATGAAGAGCAGCCTGATTGTCACACACAAGTGACATTTGAGTGACATCTCCAAATTGTAGCTCTCTAAGTAATTGTTTGAGCCAAACAAGTTCACAAGCAGCTGAGGTCATAGCTCTATATTCTGCTTCTGCACTAGATCTTGCCACAACACTTTGTTTCTTACTTTTTCATGAGACCAAGTTACCACCAATAGAGACACAATATCCAGATGTAGATCTTCTATCCGAAGGAGATCCTGCCCAATCAGCATCTGAGTAGCAAACAACTCTTGTATGGTTATTAGAATCATATAACAATCATTTTCCAAGATATCCTTTAATATACTTTAAGATACGAATGACTGCATTCCAATGATCTTCACATGGGGAATTAAGAAATTGGCTTACCACACTGACTGCAAGGGAAATGTTAGGACGAGTAACTGTAAGATAATTCAATTTTCCAACCAATCTTCTATACTGCTCAGGATCAGGTATAAGCTCCCCCTAATTTGGTTGAAGTTTAGTATTGGGATCCATGGGCGTATCAGCAGACTTTGAATTCATCAACCCAGTTTCCTCCAAAATATCCATGGCAATACTTCCTCTAAGATATAACAATACCATCATTGGACTGTGCCACCTCAATACCCAAGAAATATCTAAGTTTGCCAAGATCTTTGGTCTGAAAATGGTGACAAAGATGTTGTTTCAACTGAGAGATGTCATGGTTGTCACTACCTGTAAGAACGATGTCATCAACATATACTATCAAGTAAACACATCCAACACTTGAGTGTCGATAAAAGACAGAGTGATCTGCTTCACATTGAGTCATACCAAATTGTTGAACAACCTTGCTAAACTTTCCAAACCAGGCCCTAGGAGACTGTTTTAGGCCATATAGGAATTTGCGAAGAGGACATACCATCCCAGAAGACTCCCCCTGAGCAACAAACCCAGGAGGTTGCTCCATATAGATTTCTTCTTGCAAATCACCATTGAGGAAAGCATTTTTAAAATCTAGTTGATAAAGAGGTCATTGTTGAAGAGCGGCCATGGCGATAAATAAACGAACAGAAGTCATCTTTTCCATAGGGGAAAAGGTATCTCCATAATCCAACCCAAAAATTTGAGTATAACCTTTTATAGTTCCAACATAAAACCAATTGCAATATGTGGAGTAGCCTAACATGTATTTAAACCATACCAAATGATATGAGGTAGGCGATGTGGGACTTTCAACACACCCCCTCCAACGAAGCCTGCCGGACTAGACAAAGGGTACTTTTGACCTAACTAAAGGGCAACTTTTGGCCCATGACAATAACCGGAAAGATGTTAGGCTTTGACTCTGATACCATGTTAAGGTTCCAACATAAAACCAATTGGCAATATCTGAAGTAGCCTAACATGTATTTAAATTATACCAAATGATATGAGGTAGGCGATGTGGGACTTTCAACACACCCCCTCCAACGAAGCCTGTCGGACCAGACAAAGGGTACTTTTGACCCAACTAAAGGGCAACTTTTGGCCCATGACAATAACCGGAAAGATGTTAGGCTTTGGCTCTGATATCATGTTGAATATAGAAGAAATAGAGTTTGGGATTAATATCCCTTGTGTATAAATCACACATAGGGTAGTCTATTTATAATAGAGAGATACAACTAAAAAAATAACTGAAAGTAACAGAATAAACAGAAGATATTGTTTGATATTGTGGTTAACAATATCTAACAATATCTTAACAATATCAAATAATATCTAAACAATATCTAATAAGGTGAAATTTACTTTACTCCCTGAGTCTTTTTATATAGAATCCAAAAAATAATATGATAGGCCAAAAGATAATATTTGATAAGCCAAAAGATAATATCTAATATATGATATTATAACAAATAAAAGATAATAAGATAATATAATAAATAAAGTGATTTTAATATATTTGACCCAGCGAGATAA